TCCCTACCCTGCGCCGCCTCGTCTCACGGCGATGCAGAGAAGCCGCCCCCCCAGTGCACAAAAAGCGCCTTTACCGCGCCTGTCTCCTTGCGTGGAGTGTCCCGCCCCGCTCCGACCTCCCTAGGCCGCCGCCGGCCGCACACCTCCTATCTTCGCGCACGCCGCCCGCAGCCTTTTACATCACAGAGCTCACCAACCCCTCTTACAGAAGAGCCTACATGCTGGCTAGATTGAACATCATGCCATCGCCGCTCCATAGAGGAAGACTCAATGGCCTCCCGAGCGACAAGAGGGTTTGCCTCTGCAGCACAGGATAGCTAGAGTCCATACCGCATATTCTCCTACACTGTCCACTCTACCAGGAGCTAAGATCCAGCCTGCTAACACAAGCTATAGATTCACTGAAGAACTGCAGCGATTCTGACAAAGTGATTTTGCTTTTAAATTGCCAGGACTTTAGCTGCTGCCTTTCAGTGGCAAGATTCCTGAATGAAGTCTGCAAACTGAATGAGTAGCAAACGAGAAGCCCTTTTTTATTACGTGTACTATGTTTTATATTCTCTGCCATGTTATGCCAATAAAGGCTTATTGTATTGTATTGTTGTAACAGAGTCTTGAAGCCGGTTGGTGCAACATGGCAGCATAACCACAACAGCATAGGGAGGGAAAGGTTGGAAGCACAAGTATTGCAAAGAAAGCTATGAACTTGAGTCTTAATATAACAAAGCAAATGCAATGTAATTGGCATCACTGAAACCAGATGGGATGAGTCTCATGATTGGAATGTAGTAATAGAGGGGTAAATTTTATTTCAGAAAAATAGACCAAACAGGAAAAGAGGTGGAGGAGCATTGTATGTCAAGTGTGTTTACACCTGTGAGGAGGTCCATGATGTAAATCCTGTTAGCCAGGGTAAGAGCATCTGGATACAAATTAAGGGAGAAAGAAACAATCAGAACGTTGATGTGGGGGTCTACTACAGACCTTCAAGCCAGACTGAGGACCTGGGTGATGTCTTACTAGAACAGATGACCACAAATTCAGAAAGGAGAGATGTTATAGTAATGGTAGTTTTTGACTATCCAGATATTTGTTGGAAGACAAACTCTGCCAATAATATGTGGTCCAGCAAATTCCTTGCTTGCCTTGTAGACAAGTTCATGGTCCAGAAGGTGGAAGAGGCAATAAGGGGATCTGCTTTTTAAAGATCTGAGTCTAACCAACAGCGATAACTTGGAAAATTGGGTGGAAGTGGCAGGTCCCTTAAGCGAGAGTGACTATGTTCTTCTAGAGCAGTAGTTCTCAACCTGTGGGTCAACCTGTGGGTTCCCTACAACTCCCAGAAATCCCAGCTAGTTTACCAGCTGTTAGGATTTCTGGGAGTTGAAGGCCAAAACATCAGGGGATCCACAGGTTGAGAACCAATATTCTAGAGTTTGTTGTACAGTAAAAAGGAGAAATCAGGCATAGTCAAGCACGTATTCTTGACAAAAATAGCTGAGTTCCATAAACGTAGGGATCCCATGATTGGGATTCATAGAATGATTCCTGGCCTTCCTGCTTCTATATGATATTTTCCTCCAAGGATCTCATCCTGTGTTTGGAAAATGATCTACTTTGAGACATCCCCTGTGTGTTTGTCCTCCGAGAAAGTTTACCCAGAGGTGTCCAATAAAACCTCTTCTTCCCTCATATGTTGGCCACCAACTTGCTCTTGCTGTAGGTATAGTTGCCCATATCCCATGGCAAGATGGAACATACCACAGTTATTGCAGGTGATTTACATGAACTTCCTCACCATCCATTTTAAGCAGTCTGGAGTAGGGAATGAAACAAAACTCTAGCTCTATCGTTCAAAACACCTTTCTTCACCTCATTCCTAGTTGCCTTGCTCCAGGAACAGGTGCTTTACCTACATAAATAGCTAATGGCAGATAGCTCCTTCCCCAACCAATAATCACTGGAAGTGTAATTTTACTTGGTCTTCAACCTTCTTTATGTGGCTAAACTAGAACTTCCAGGATCCCATAGCATTGAGTTGGAATAATGTCAAATTACGTACATTAATTCAACAGTGTACTCAAATCTCAGGTTGGAACCTGACTTAATGGCAAGAATTAAGCACAGTATGCTATGTTTATATGAACCTTCCTTGTTTGGTTATCTCTGGGGCAACTGTATTGGGGGTAAATGTTTGTTTTATTTAGCCCTTTCCCCAATTTGCATAAGGTGGGTGAAAATTAGCCAGATCATTGCACATTGCTGCATTTTTCTGTTGATTTGGATGATGTTCAAGCAATGTTTTTTCTGATTTTTTTTAAAAAATGATGTGAATTCGTTTTAATTGGCTTCGGGAGGTGATTTTTCCCATGCTTGGAGAAAGCTGGCCTATCAAATCCAGGGAAGTAATGTTACCCCTCTAGTCTGCCTTGATCTGATCACACCTGGAATACTATGTCCAGTTCTGGGCACTGCAATTTAAGGGAAATGTTGACTAACTGGAATGTTTTCAGAGAAGGGCAACTAAAATGATCAAGGGTCTGGGGAACAAGCCATATGAGGAGCAGCTTAAAGAGCTGGGCCTGTTTAGCCTGCAGAAGAGAAGACAGGAGACATGGTGAAGGCCTGGGCCATGAATAAATATGTGAGGGGAAGTCATAGGAGGGAGCAAGCTTGTTTTCTGCTGCCCTGTAGACTAGGCTTCAAACTACAGAAAAGGGGATTCCACCTGAACATTAGGAAGAACTTCCTGACTGTGAGAGCAGTGTGGTGGGGGTTCCTTCTTTGGAGGCTTTTAAGCAGAGGCTGGATGGCCATCTGTCGGGAGTGCTTTGAATGCGATTTTCCTGCTTCTTGGCAGGGGGTTGGACTAGATGCCCCACGAGGTCTCTTACAACTCTATGATTGTATGATTTTGTGATTCTGTGATCATGCAAATCGAGGACAAATAAGCTGCTTCGATATATTTTTGTATCATAAACATTGCTTTTTGGATTGATGCATGGAGAGCCTTGAGGTATACAGGATAAACTATGTATATTGCATTGAAGCCATGTTGTTTTGTTTTAGTATCTGGTGAACAACAACTCTAAGAAACAATTCCTATGTGCTTCTGGAGCTTTGTTCTTTTCAGTCTAATGTTTTGGTTGTATTCTCTTTCAGGTGGCAGAAATGCATGGGGAGTTGATTGAATTCAATGAAAGACTGCACCGTGCATTGATGGCGAAAGAAGCTCTTGTGACCCAGATGAGGCAAGAGCTCATTGATCTGAGAGGACCAGTAGGTTTTTGGTTTTAAATTCATTAAAATTAGGCTGTTTATAATCTTGAAAATTTAAAATAATTTAAACTGTGTCCTGCATTAAAAGGAAGGAAGGAAGGAAGGAAGGAAGGAAGGAAGGAAGGAAGGAAGGAAGGAAGGAAGGAGCAACAATTTTAATGATTATAAATTGTGGACTCTTAAGAAAAGTTAATTAAAATTATCCCTTAACATGTTTGGTCCAATTTCAGATTCCCAGAGTCCTAGCTAGAACAACATGGGGAAAGCCATTGTTAGCAAAAGATTTGGAGGAGGAAAAGTGTCTGTCTTGTTCTTGCCCCCAACCTATGCTTTGGAATTCCGGCATTTGCCATTACCTTGTATGTTTCCTCCTTTTCTGGCCGCCAACTACACTTTCCATTTGAAGTATTGCTTTCCAACAATCCAAAGTGATAAAAGTTTTGATACAATTTATATCTTTCAATAAAACACTATTTTGCTGCTTATTATTCCTACAAAATCTGAATATATGTAGACTATATGTAATAAAGCATGCGAAGTACTCTTGGAGCTAGGTGAAAATAAGACTATGTCAATATTTGTGTGATCAGAGTGAAGGCGCTGGGACTGGAAACAATGCAAGAAAGGCATTGTAACAATACTCACAATTAACAACGCTGTGCTACTCAACTGCTGAGTACACATGCCCAGTGTGGAATACACCTCATCACGTTAAAACAGTGGATGTGGCTCTTAATGAGACATAGTGCATTATCAGAGGATGTCTACACTCTACACCACTAGAGAAATTATATTGTTTAGCTGGCATAGCACTACCTGACATCCATCAGGAAGAAGCAGCCTGTAATAAAAAGACCAAAGCAGTGATATCTCTGGCCCATCCTCTGTTCGGATATCAGCCAGCATGCCAATGTCTTAACTCAAGACATAGTTTCCTAAGATCCACAGAGATACTCGCAGGAACACCTCAGCAGCGAGAGCCCAAAAGGGGCAGGCAAAAGCCTGGGACCTCAATCCATGGCTGATACTGAATGAGAAACTCCCTCCTGGGTACACAGAAGACTGGGCGACTTGGAAGGCGCTGAACAGGCTGTGTTCTGGCAACACGAGATGCAGAACCAGCCTTAAGAAATGGGTCCACGACATGCGAGTGCGGAGAAGAGCAAACCACAGACCACATACTACAATGCAACCTGAGCCCTGCCACATGCATAATGGAGGATCTTCTCACAGTGACACTAGAGGCACTCCAAGTGGCCAGCTTCTGGTCAAATAAAATCTAGTATGATACCAAGTTTTTAACTTTGTTTGTGTTTTTAAATACATTATAACTCTATCCGCAACTCGCTTCTGACACGATAAATAAATACAATGACCATGATTGACATTATACACAATAGATATATGGAAGAAGTATCTTGATATACATTGGAATTCCAAGATATAAATGATAGATTTTTGAAAATTACAGATGTGGAAAATAAATGACCACAGATGTAGAGGCAGTGGATGCAATACATGGGTTCCAATCCAGGTATCAACCAATCTGCCTGTTGACAGATGAGTCTGCAAATACAACCTGCTGCTGGATATATTTAGAGAACAGTGGAGTTGAGAATTAAAGAACAGTGTGTCTCTGATCACAGACTGATCCTAAGAATCTGTCTCTACTAGTAGAACTGAACTGATTTTACAGTCTTTTCACAACAAAGTCTGCTCCTGGTTACCCCAGGCTTCCACTTTCCCCAATTATTGTGGTTAAATAATGGGGAGTTTGTCAGCTTGCTACAAATCACCCAGATATCTTGATCTACTTTATACCTAACCTGCTTGTGTGGCAAGACAAATTGTGCTCTTAGGACCACATTAGCTCCAATCATTATTATCTAACTGTTTCTTGAAAAGGTTAGATGCTTTATGACTTATTTCTTCAGCTCTCCGTCTTGAAATTCCTCTAGGTAAAATAATCAGCACATTTGATGGCCACATTAATGGGGAAATCATTGCAGCCTAAGACTGCATTTTAAAGGACACAGAATTAAAGGTCAGAATTACTACAACATGCAACTGTTCAGAACTGTCTTGGAAGAGGATTATGCAAATGAAACACATTCTTGGTTTGTGTGTGTGTGTGCCGTTATGAAATTCTTCTATAAACTGAAAGGATAATTAATTAAGTCAAATCATATGTGCATTAAAACAGCTCTTGATGCTTATTTCTTCCGTTACTGTGGCGGGGATTTGTGAAAGGAGCTAATTAGATTTTTGATCCGAGATGAATATTTGTTACTTGGTAATTTTAAAATAGCGGTATGCTGTCTTTCAGCACTGAAGCGTCCCAGGTGGCTTTCAATAAATGTTAAAACCCTAAAATTAAAACATTAAATCTGAAACATAAAACAAAAATTACAGGAATGAAACATAAAGCAAACATTACAGGAATTAAAGCAAATATCATAGCTCATGAGTACATTATTAAGAGATTGGATGAATAATCTGGTCCAATCTATCAATTGAACAGATGAGTTTGATGCCCAAGATTCCAACACAGAAGATTCTAACCAAATGTTCCTCGGACCAGTATCATTCTCCTGCCCATTCACTTAAGTCAGGGTGCTGAGCACCTAAAACAGTGGTTCTCAACCTTCCCAATGCTGCGACCCCTTAATACAATTCCTCATGTTGTGGTGACCCCCAACCATAAAATTATTTTTGTTGCTACTTCATAACTAATTTTGCTTATGGTATGAATTGTAATGTAAATATCTGATATGCAAAATGTATTTTCATTCACTGGACTAAATTTGGCACAAATATCTAGTATTCCCAAATGTGAACACTGGTGGGATTGGGGGAGATTGACTTTGTCATTTGGGAGTTGTAGTTCCTGGGATTTATAGTTAACGTACAATCAAAGAGCATTCTGAACACCACCAATAATGGAATTGAACCAAACTTGGCGCACAGAAAATACTGGAAGAATTTGGTGAGCATTGGTTTTGAGTTTTGGAATTGTAGTTCATCTCCATCCAGAGAACACTGTGGGCTCAAACAGTGATAGATCTGGACCAAACTTGGCACAAATATTCAATATTTATTTATTATGTGAACACTGGTGGAGTTTGGGGAAAATAGACCTGACATTTGGGAGTTGTAGTTATTGGAATTTATAGTTCACCTACAATCGAAGAGCATTCTGAACCTCGCCAACGATAGAATTGGGCCAAACTTCCCACACAGAACACCCATGAGCATCAGAAAATACTGTGTTTTATGATGGTCTTTGGCGACTCCTCTGACACCCCCTCATGACCTCCCCCAGGGTACCAACCCCCAGATTCAGAAACCAGAAGCCAGAAAATTTATTTTGGCGTGTAGTTGGGATCATCACTCAAGCATCTCTGCTTTCCCTAGCAATAAAAAGGCAATTTTAAAAAAAAATCCAAAGTTGCTGTCAATATTCTAGCCTTTTATTACACCCTAAATCTGTTGCCTATCTATGGTGGGTGTCTCAAGCTGCCAAATGCAAGGCTCAGGAGTCTATGGGCACCAGGACTAAAAACTTTGACCTGGCAGATTGAGATGAGATCTTTCTTGCATGATTCATTTATCCAGTCTTGGCCTGAAAACGAGAAGCTGCATTCTCCAGAGAGGAGAAATTGATGGCTGACATCTCTTGAGATCCAGAGGGTCATGTTGCTTCTTTGCATATTTCAAAGGGTTCTCAAGTCGGTCAGCCTGATGGGAATATCACCTTACATGGCCTCTTCTCAGGGAACTCCTGCGTCGCGCTTCTTTCATCAATAAAACATTCCTTAAAACCTTAGCCCCTTTATCTCATTAGAAGTGTTTGTCAGTTAATATCTTAGATCAGTGGGGGTTTTTTAACGACACACTGAAAACATTCTCCAAGTTGTTATTTTGTACACATTTTTGTAAATGATTCATTACTTGAAGATGTAGCGATGGTAAAATCCCAGCAAAGATGTTTTCATATTTCCTGTTTTTGTGTACTTTGAAGCAAATGTCAACTTACGACAACTTTTCCCATGTTTATTTCAGCAGAATTTATTCAGAAGAGGTTTGCCATTGCCTTCTTTTGAGGCTGAGAGAGTGAGACTTGCCCAGAGTTTCCCAGTGGGTTCCATAGTCTCCCAGTCATAGTACATCATCAAAGCACTGGTCTTCCAGTCAAATCCTGGTCTCCTAGAGCCGTAGCCAATCATTCAAAGCACTTCATTACAGTGGTTCTACCTTCATGTGTTTTGTGGATTTTTCAGCTCTTTATTCTACTTTAGATATAAGAATCATCAGAAGAAAAGTGCTTACTTCGCTCTGCTCTCTTCTGCCCTCTTCTTATACACCTACCGTCAAGGAAATGTTATGGTTTGTTTATAAACCTCAGTTTCTTGTGGTATCTAAATCAAGAAACAACATGCATATTTCTTACAAACCAAGGTAGCATCCTGATGCTTTGATGTGTATGTACATCTGAATGGGCCTTTTTCTTTATACCACATATATTCATGCCATGCCATTGTCTGTTTCCCCTGGCTTTCAAAAGAAAAAAAAATGTCTGTATTATTGAAGGCTTTCATGGCCGGAATCACTGAGTTGCTGTGAGTTTTCTGGGATGTATGGCCATGTTTAAGAAAGAATGTCTGTTTGCTAGATTTGCAAAGCTGCCTTAGATCCCCAGACCAAGGCTAGCTTACCTTTCCTTGAAATGTGTAGGTGTGCACCATAGAAGATCTTTGTATTTCAAAAGATCAACATCTTAACCAGGATCAGTCCATTTTGCTGCCTGAGGCAGAGCAGTTTCTATGTCCCCAAAACCAAGCAAATTATTTTAGCACTCAGAGTTGAAATGTATTTCAAGAAAAATACAACAATAATAAATCAGATAACTACTAGTTTTCTGTGTTTGCATCATACTCAGCTCATCAGCTGAAGACATCAAATGATAGAGCCCGCTCACCACATTTCTTCGGTTTTTCTGAGTGTCCACCTCAAATCTGGCTGCTGTTTTTTATAAAAAGAAATGCCTTGAGTAGAACATAATTTCACTTGATTATCCATGCTGGACAATAGACCTCATCAGGTCCATAATATTCTTTTCCTGCTTGTCAGCAACAGCGAAATAAACAATGATAGAGATCTGCAGGCGCCATCAATGCTCAGTCTTTGTTTCTGCCAGTAATTTCTGGCACTGTCTGATGATATGAGCAGGCAAACTCTGACATTTGAGCATTGAAAAAAAATCCCATTGTGAACAGGGCTACGCATGAAAACAATTCAAGACCATTGGATGCTGTTGGTGGCCTCTCAACTCCATGGATTCTTGAATGAAACCAATTATCTTGATCCATCGCAGTCTGGCTTTAGGCCTGGTCACAGAATGAAGATGGCTTTGGTCGCCTTGGTGGATGACCTCCGCAGAGAGCTTGACAGGGGGATTGTATCCATGTTGGTTCTCTTGGATATCTCAGCGGTTTTCGATACCATAGAACATGGTATCCTTCTGAGGTGTCTCTCTGTAATGGGTCTTGGGGGCATTGTTTTGCAATGCCTCCACTCCTTCCTGGAGGACACCTGCTCAGATCCCTGAACATTGACCTGTGGGGTCCTGCAAGGTTCCATTCTATCCCCCCATGCTTTTTAATATCTACATGAAACTGCTGGGAGAGGTCATCCGAAGTTTTGGAGTTCGGTGCCATCTGTACACAGATAACATACAACTCTACTGCTTCTTTCCACCTTACTCCAAGGTACCCCCCCCCCCCGGATCCTGGACCAGTGCTTGACAGGGTTACGCTCCCCCTGAGGATACAGGTCCACAGTCTGAGGCTCTTCCTGGATTCAGCGCTGACACTTGAAACCCAAGTGTCGGTTGTGGCTGGGAGGGCCTTCGCACAGTTAAAGCTTGTGCGCCAGCTACGACCATACCTTGAGAAGTCGGACCTGGCCATGATGGTCCATGCCTTAGTTACCTCAGAATTTGATTACTGTAATGCACTCTACGTGGGGCTGCCTTTGAAGACGATTTGGAAACTGCAATTGGTGCAAAGGTCGGCGGCCAGACTACTAACTGGAGCTGGCTATAGGGAGCACACAATGCTCCTTTTAAAGCAGCTCCATTGACTGCCAATATGTTTCCAGTCTCAATTCAAAATGCAGGTTATCACCTATAAAGCCCTGAATGGTTCAGTACGTGCCTATCTTTTTGACTGCATTCCCCCCTGTGAACCTGCTTAAGTGTTAAGATCTCCTGGGGAGGCCCTCCTCTCGGTCTCACCACTGTCACAAGCATGGTTAGAGGGGAAAAGGAAGAGGGCCTTCTCATTGTTGACCCCCCACCTTTGGAACGCCGTCTCCAGGGAGAATAGGCAGACCCCCACACTATTATTCTTCCATAGGAATCTGAAGACTTGAATGTTTAACTTCTAGCCCTAATCGTCCACAATTAATGATACAGCACTGCTCTTTCATCACATGCCCTGTTCCGTAGCTAAAATTTGCACTATCCTATTCCCTTGTCTTGTTTAAAGTTTGGCCATGTCTTACAGTAGTTGTCACCATAGGTCATTGGATGTTGTTCTGAGTTTTAAATTGCTATTTTTACATGCTATAGTTTTTACTTTGTATTGTACTGTGTGTTTATTTTATGCTTAGTCTTGGCACTTTGTGCAATATGTAAGCCCCCCCAAGGTCCCTTCAGGGAGATGGAGGTGGGGTACAAAAATAAAGTTGTTGTTGTTATTATTATTATTATTATTATTATTATTATTATTATGCTGTTGAAAATTCAAATAAATAGGGTTAAAACCCATGACGTGCTAGATTTTATGACTTTTCTAAAATCTCATCATTTCTGGAATAGATATAATCTAATCCTTCATGGCTTGTGCTATTTAAGTCACTAAGTTTTTGTTCACAACTAGAAAACTAGCTGTAATTATTTGAAATTTTGTAGAGGTTCCTATTGTCATTCAATATAATATGAAAGTAGCCATAAAATCACACCGTTGTGTGCATTACAAAACCTTCCACTATGATACTGGCCACGTGTGGAGGGCAGAAATGTGGTTAGCCCAGATAATGTTTTAAAGAAAATAATTGGAGGGATATTCAATTGATTTGTTTGAGTAATGCGACATGTCTCTGTTCTTTAAGTGTAAAGTGAATGCTTCCACATTCCTGTCTCTTTAAAGTGATGATTCTTTACTGTTTTTTCAATGTACTCATGTCCATTTGGAAATCCTCTCATCATCTTCTAGTCATGAAGCTTCCAATTTATGATTATCACCAGTATAGTCCGAACAGGCACATTTAGTATCAACAACCCAATTGAGCACTCTTAGTGACTGGAATTTCAGGATATTTCCCAGGGGACACTGGACAGCTTAGAAATCTTTCAGTCTATTCTGTTAATACAAAGTATATGTTCTTCCCCTGGAGAGAAGCATAGAATTATTATCTAGCCACATAACTCATAGTTAATACTTAATATCTTTAACACACTTTACTCTTAATATGTTCCTCCACTGCAACAGAACATCTGTCAGAGACTGGAGGCTGTATTAAATATCTTACATTTGTGTCTATGGGGAAAGCTTTTATGCCAAAAATTGCCACTCTGTGGCATTATGTCCACCTATCAGAATAAATAATAATAATAATAATAATAATAATAATAATAATCTTTATTTATATTCCGCTTTATCTTCCCAGAGCAGATTACAGTACACATCTGAGGCAAACATTAAATGCTTTTTACACACAGTGAACAATGACATACAGCACAGGCAAAGGTAAACGCCTTCCCTTTTTTCCATCTCCGGTGTCTGGAGGTGATGCTCAACTCCAGCCATGGGGAGGTGCTCTTGTTTGGAGATGTCCATGGATATCTCTGATTGTGTTGCCGGCATGTCTGCATATCTGTGTGGGGTGCCCTTTTACCTTCCCGCCGAGGCAGTACCAATTGATCTACTTGCATTGCATGCTTTCGAACTGCTAGATTAGCAGAAGCTAGGATTGACAGTCGGAGCTCACCCTGACTCGTGGCCTCAAACTGCCTACCTTCCAGTCAGCAGATTTCCTACAACTTAGTGGTTTTAACCCGCTGTATTACCGCTACCCCTTATAATTCATTATAAGCCAGTGAGAAATGAGTTTTATTTATCTTGTTCGAAACTAATGGTCCATGATGTTAACTGTCTTTATGCACTGGGCCAAAAAGCATCTGTTCACATCAGAATGTGACTGAACATATTTGTGTGGCCACAAATAAACCGTCATTTGAGAATATTGAGTGGTCTCCATTATTCCTTGCTACCTGTGGGTCCCCTTAACTCAATGTTGGGATCACGAAAAATTTGGCGACAGTAGTTTTCTTTTACAGTCTTTTAGTGATTGTTTTAGACATTTACACAGATGTATTGTGCACCATTTGCAGTGGACTCTGCAGAAAATGTTTCAACTGAACTTTTAATCTGTTTAGCAAGCCTTGCAAATGATTTATTATCAGTAAATGTTTGATTTTTATACTTACTTAATATACTCAAGGTCACATAAAAAAAATCAGGCCGAAAGGGGTTATAAGTGGAAATGTTTTTAGGTGTCACCGGTGTATTATTTTTCTCCTGTCAGATTTTCCTACTATCCCTTTATTTTTTAATTAATGGAATACTGAACAGAAAACAGATAAGTCTCAACATTATCACCCAGAGATGTTTGACTTTTTTACTGTACGAAGACACAAGTCACTTTTACTTACTTTTCATTTTCTAGTCAACAAGGTTTAGGGCCTTAAATTTTGCAAAATATATACAAAAGCATCCAGCCCATTACATATATCTGTTGCATAAGTTGCTGTTTTAACTTAATGTTTTCTCTGGCAGGTTCCTGGAGATCTGAGCCAAACATCTGAAGACCAAAGTTTGTCAGATTTTGAAATGTAAGTTGGTAGAGAATTTGGATTTATTCATTCCTTGTGTTCATACTTCACTCCAAATCAGGATCACAGAAAGCCTTGCAATTAATAATACTAATAAAAGGATATTTCACTTGGTTTAAAAAATATTTTTAAAAGGGAGGGATTGTGCACATGTCTTTTGGGAAGTGATTCCATAAATGATGACCCACCAATGAAAATGTCTCATATTGTTGTACATTTCCAGTGCATGTCCATATTTCTTCCTGTAATACAATATTGTAGAAACTTACATGAAACACTATTCCAAATAGCAATTTTTTGACCACTTGGAAAGCAGTGTCACCCAAGTGGTGTTGTTTTTGGCTTGTTTATTTATACACCTGTGTTTATCATTGTTGTTATTATTTTATTTCTTACCCATCTCTCCTCTCTGCAGGACTTTGTATTCAAAGAACTCTGTGTTTAAAATATCTCTTTTTGTTAAAACTTAGATCAAATCGAGCTCTTATAAATGTCTGGATTCCCTCAGTTTTTCTCCGTGGAAAAACAGCAAATGCATTTCATGTTTACCAGGTAAGTGTTACAACTTCAGAGCATTTGGGTGGAAGTGAAGACTTGCATAGTTCTTCCTGGTACTTCTTGAATAAATCACAATCCTTGGTATGATTGTCGTGTCTGAAGGCTGGAGGGAACTGGAGATTGGAGGGCAGGAGGAGGGAAAGAGTGGGGAGGGAAGTCAGCTATTGATGAGCAACTACTAAGCCAAGTAACTACAAACAGGCCATGGGTTGGGGCGGGGGAATAGGGCATGTTGGAGGAGGGGGGAGTTCCAGTGGTCAAGGGCCTCCCAATAGAAGTAATATGAGGAAGGCGGAGATACGGGAAAGGGAGACCCAAACAACCAATTTGACCTAGAGAATGAGAGAGTGTATTGATAGTTTCAAAACGACCTCCTGACATGGTAAAACTGAGTACCCAGGTTGGCGGTCCCTCTGGTTTAAGAATGGTGCTGTTGAATGCCAGGTCTGTAAATGGAAAAACAGCTATCATCCAGGATATAATTCTGGATGAGTGTGCAGATCTGGCATGAATAACAGATACCTGGTTTGGATGAGGCGGGGTGGGGGGATTACTCTCTCCCAGCTCTATCCACCAGAATACTCCGTGCAGCACCAACTGAGATACAGAGGGTGGTGAGGTGGGGTTGCAATGGTCTATAGAAATTTCACCTCCCTGACCAGGTGCCCGATCCTGCAGTCAAGCACATCTGAATATGTCCACCTGAGGGTAGGTGTCTGGAACAGGATAGGGATTATGCTAGAATACTGACCACCCTGCTGCACTACAGTCTTCCTGTCTGAGCTAGCAAGGAGGATCTCAAGCTTGGTGTTAGCATCTCAATGGTTCATAGTACTGGGGAACTTCATTGTCCACTCGGAGACGATCATATCAGGATAGGCTCAACACTTCATGGCTACCATGGCAACCATGGAGCTGTCCCAACTAGTATCTGGTTCTACTCACAGAGCTGGGCAAACACTAGACTTGGTTTTCTGCCAGGGATGGGAGGAAGGTGGTGATGTGGAGGAGCTGACCATCTCTCCATTGCCATCAACCTACCATCACCTGATCAGATTTAGGCTTACCCCCCCCCCCCCCCCCCCCCCCCCCCCCCGATCCGCTCTGACTTGGACACCATGTTAACAGCAGCTTCTGAGGATGTAACATGAGCACCTGCTTCTCCGGTTTTGATGGATTCATTTCAATTGGTGCAGCTCAACCATGTGGACAAGATCCTTGAAGACGTGAGGGCAACCACATGCATCCTAGACCCCTGCCCATTCTGGTTGGTAAAGGAGGCCAGAGGGGGTTTGGTAGAGTGGGTAAAGGTGGTGGTTAATGCCTCCTTACAGGAAGGCTAAATTCCAACCAGCCTAAAAGAAGCTGTAATAAAACCGCTCTTGAAGAAACCATCACTGGAACCTACTCAATTGAAAAATGTTTGGCAAGTTTCCAATCTCTTTTTGGGCAAAGTCCTGGAATGTGTGCTGACCTCACAAATCCAGGTGTTCTTGAAGGAAACTGACTATCTGGATCCAACACAGTCTGGCTTTAGGCCACGACATGGAACTGAAACAGCCTTGGTCGCTTTAGTGGATGATCTGCGTAGGGAACTGAACAAGGGAAGTGTGTCCCTGTTGGTTCTCTTGGACTTCTCAACAGCCTTTGATACCGTAGACCACAGTATCCTCCTGGGACGCCTCAGGGGAATAGGGCTTGGAGGCACTGTTCTACAGTGACTCCAGTCCTTCCTGGAGGGCTGTTCCCAGAAAGTGTTGTTGGGGGACACCTGTTTGGCCCTACAGCCATTGTCTTGTGGAGTCCCACAGGACACAATACTGTCCCCCATGTTGTTTCTCCCAATACCTTCCAACAAAGGATTCCCCCAGGCAGGAAGCAGCCAGGCTTTGAAGCTGCAATACCATTCAATGCTAATCAAGGTTGCCAATTGCTACATTCACACTTGCCTGAAACAGACAAGAGTTCTTTCTCCCACCCCAGATATTCTACAGATACATAAACTCCACTTGCCTAGTTTCCAACACACCTCACAACCTTTGAGGATGCCTGCCATAGATATGGGTGAAACGTCAGGAGAGAATGCTTCTGGAACATGGCCATACAGCCTGGAAAACTCACAGCAACCCAGAGATTCTGTCCATGAAAGTCTTCAACAACACATTGAAACTCTAATTCAGAAATGTTTTAAACAAAGAAAAGATGGAGAAATGCATACACACACCAATTGGGAATTATCTAGCCCTGTTCTTGGGGCAATGGCTGTTTGAAATTTTCTTTGAATCTTAGCTAGCATAAGGGACACAAGTGATGTAACCTAGCCACCTTCAATGTTAAAATGCCGAAAATGAGAGGGAGGGATATCCCACTATCTTAGCGATGCAGTTTATTTTGAATATGGGTATCTATTTGGTGGTTACTGTTCATTTTCTTGCGTGAAAGTGGATTAAAAGGGATTAGTTTTAGCAAGACTTTGCTAGCATGAGTCACTCATCGCTGTAATTCTCCCAGGCGAAGAATTTGCCGTTTGCTTTGATGATATCCTGCTGGTTATTTTCTTTTTCTTTTCCTTTAACATTAAGGCAATTTTTGAAGGGGTGGGAACATTTAGTAAACTCATGGGAAGCAAAATGTGTTGTTCAGGTTAAATGTCATAAATAAAGATCAATTATCACATTAAGATGGAAAGTTGAATGGGCAGACTAGGTTACAGTGAACAATTAAGATCAGGTGTTCATTATAGCTGTGTCTGCAGTAAACCAGCATCCTCTTTGGTCTATTTGTATGTTGATTCATATTACATGGAGCTCAGATTTTGATCCCGATAATTTATTACCAGTGCCATAGCATTTGTTGTACTTTCTCCAATCCCAGAAAAGTATCCCAGCCTCAGACGAATCAAAGGAGGAAGATCTATGAGACTGACATGCCATGATAATGATGTTATTATGTTCCCTAAAATGTACACCAAACATCAGTCTGGCTGCTACATTTTGCACTAGGTACAGCTTTTGAACACTTTTCAAGGGCAGTCCCACATACAACATATTGCAGTAGGCTAATCGAGAAGTTGCTAAGGCATGAATTGCTGCATCTGTTTATATTTCTACTACTTTGGGGACCCGGCAATGCCCAGGTGATTTGAAAAAGGCATTGTTTGGGGGTTATTTATTTATTGTGTCAGGAGCAAACCAAACAGTTGTATTGTATTAAACACACACACACACACACAGTTTGCAAACTTGGCATTCTGTTTTGGGGTGTTAGATAATATCTCTGGATGCAGGGTGAAATACAACTCCCACGCTGGTGGGACATCCCCACCCCCCACACACACACAAACCTCCAGTATGTTCTGTTGGTCATGGAGTCTTTGTGTCAAATCCGTCAGCTGTATTCAGTGCTCTCTGGATAAGGGTGAATTACAAGTCTCATATGCCAGGAACAATAACCCCCAAACCTCGCCTATATGCACTGTTGGGTCTGTGTGCCGAGTTTGGTCCAGACCCAACGTCGGCTACGTTCAGTGCTCTCTGGATAAGGATGAATTACAACTCCCAGATTCCCAGGGCAGTCACCCCCAAACCGCTTCCAGCATTCACAGTTGGCCATGTTGTGTCTGTGTGCCAAGTTTGGTCCAGACCTGTCATTGGCTGGGTGCAATTCCTCTTTTTCCTGTGCCATAGAAAAGAGTAGGTAGGGGTTAAAGGAGAGGCAGTGGGCAGAGTCATACAAATTCTACACCAATGGAGGAAGAGAGAAACACTGGGATGTGGCACTCACTATAACAGGGGTCCTCAAACTAAGGCCCGAGGGCAGGATATGGCCCTCCAAGGTCATTTACCTGGCCCTCTCTCAGGGTCAACCTAAGTCTGAAAAAACTTGAAAGCACACAACAACAACAACTCAGCCAAAAGCAGGCCCACACTTCCCATTGAAATACTAATAACTTAATATTTGTTAAAATTGTTCTTCATTTTAATTATTGTATTGTTTTTAAGTGTTTTTTTGCACTACAAATAAGATATGTGCAGTGGGCATAGGAATTCATTCATGTTTTTCAAATTATAATCCAGCTCTCCAACAGTTTGGGAGTACTGTGATCTGGCCTTCTGTTTAAAAAGTTTGAGGACCCCTGCACTATAACCTGCAATGACATTGGAGGGAGGGCCATTGGTGTTTCCTGCATAGTTGAGCTATAGTTATTTGTGGAAGTGAGAGGCTGTCTGTGCAAGTGGACATCCCCGCCACATACACTCATACAGTATAATAATATTTATTTATTTGATCAATCATATGACCATTTCAAAATAGAACATGAGTAAAAAAAACAAGGCAAAAAGGTGAGGACAGCAGCTGACCTTCTATTTATAGTCAGAATCTTATTTTCCTGGTTCTTCTTTCAGGAAATCTGCTCTTAATAGCTTTCAGAATAAAAAGGCTTACTCTGATTATGCTGGATCTTTCCTGCCCTTGCAAGAGGGATGTCAGAATATCATTTCTGTTGGGGGACCTGCAGTTGGATAATACTGGATGTAAATATCTGTCTCGCAGTTCAGTATATGCTGGACAGTCAGTTAAGAAATGTTCAATGTCTTCCACTGTTTGTTCTCCCCATACGCAGAATCTCTCACTTCTTGGGATGTTACAGTAGCACCCGGTTTGCACCATAATACCAAGTTGTTCAAACCTAGCCCTAGTATATATTCTTCTTAAGGGTAGTGGAATAGTTAGGTGGTGCTCTAAATGAGTATTCCTTTTGTGGGAAGCTACAGTATAGATTTTGAGAAAGACAAATAGTAGAAGAACCATGGAATCTAATATGAATAAAGGACAGACAGAACTGAAATTGGGATGTGAAGAAATGCAATAAGATAGCAACTGAGATCCTTTTCACATTTCCCAGGCTAAGTAGACCTTTGAGTTGATTTAGGAAAGCACTTTCTTACTCTTACATCCTTTCATTAAAATGGATTTTCTCCTCCTTATGTTTTTGACAGGTCTACATCCGGATAAAAGATGACGAGTGGAATGTTTACCGAAGATATACGGAATTTAGGAGCCTGCATTACAAATTGCAGGCAAAACACCACCAAGTGAGAAGTTTTAATTTCCCACCAAAAAAGGCCATTGGAAACAAGGTAGCTTTTAAAGAAAACATTTGTGAATACTTGAAGTTGAAGATGAAAAAATGCCTTTGGAAAGTGAGATATGGTTGTATTTTTAGATGTATGGGGAGCGTTCATGAAAGATTTCCCCTGATCCACTTCCTGTGGACTGAGAGCAATTAAACTAGGCACAGTTATTAGTCCTTCTCTACATAGGTACCACCTAGGGACACATACTTCTCCCATCTTTTTAAGCAACGGTAAACACCTCGCTTGTAAAAGTTGACAGGTTGTTTCAAAAACCATGTTGTGACTTTGGAAATCAGAGTATCATCATCTGAAAAATGCTTGGCTTTAAAAAATAACTTCATAGTTGGAAAGTGGTGGAAATTGGATGGTATGAGGTTGGGTGAATAAAGGGAATGCGGCAGAATTTCAAAGTCACGGGAGCATGCTTCCAGTTGGGCAACATGTGAGTTGTGGACTGGTGCACTGTCTTGCAGAAGGTCTCAGGATCATAGTAATGGACCCAGGCTTCATCCTGTGTGACCAGTTTGTTGAAAAATTCCTCCTGGTTTCCATGGCACATTGTCAATAGAGCCTGAGAGCATTCAACTTGTTTCTGCTTCTGAAAAGGTGTGAGCAGCAAGGGGACCCAGCAAGCAGATACCTAATGCATGTGAAGATGATTTTCTCCACAGACCCCACACACATTTTGGGCTAGGTGGTGAATGGTTACATGGTGATTTTCCAAAATGGCACCATCCACTTGCTGGAATGTGTGTTCATCAATAGCAGAGTGGGGTCATCCTGAAATTGGAGCTGTTTCCACCGAAGTCCAACCACATTTGAATTGACAATGCCAGTTCTTGACTCCATCATATGATGGGGAATCATCACCATAAACCTCTTTCATCTCATTGAACATCTCCTTTGGTGTGCGGCCTTTCAAGTAAAGGAACTTTATGACTGCTCTGCATTCCACTGGGTCCATTATCAAACCTCAAACCACTTCAGCTCCTGTAAAATCAAGACCGTTATCAGTTCTGAGTTGTAAAATTGGCATATAACCTATAGAGACATATCATTACACATGTACAGTTTCAGCGTCCTGTGATTAATAGAAGGGGGTCAATGGAAATCTTTAATGAACACCCCTCGTACTTTTAGAAAATGCATAAATGTCATTGTTTTTGCCAAATTGGTGAGTGGAGGAAAGTGGCAAGTGTTGGAATGGATGCTTATTGTTATGATGACTCCTTTGTTTGTTCTGCTGTATATGTCAGATTGCTGGATGGGTTTTCAGTATAAGGGTTCGTGATATTGATAATTACATTTGATAGTTTTACTTGGAAATGTCAAATAATAATAATAATAATAATTATTATTATTATTATTATTATTATTATTATTCAACAGCTAGCAGAGTGTCTGCTGTGGACGCATCTTGTTGTGTTTCAAATAATAATAATAATCATCATCATCATCATCTTTATTTCTGTACTCCTTCTCTCCCTGAAGGGACTCAGGGCAGTTTTCACATAAAAAGAGGCAAACATTCAGTGCCTTGGGTGAATACAAACACATCAAAACAATACACGATAAAGCACAATAATAACAGTGAACTTACAGTGAAGAATTAAGCACTGAAATAAAAAAGTGAACAAGAGCAAATGCAGTAGTGTATTTTTAATTATCCCCCTCCCCCCTCTTCTTTCTTTTCCCTTTAGGATGCGAAATTTGTAGAAGAACGGCGGAAACAGTTGCAGAACTACTTAAGAAACGTTATGAACAAATTAATCCAGACTCTGCCAGAGTTTGCTGCCAACCCTAAAAAAGAAACACTTATCCAGCTGATACCTTTTTTTATGTAAGTACAGTGGACTCGACTTAAGAGCATTCCAACTAAAGAGTGTTTAGAGTTAAGAACTATCACTCAGCCCTGGTTTTACTTTGACATACAAACAGTGTTTTAAGTTAAGAGGGAGCGCCAGAAGGTGCACTAGCACGAGAGGGTAGGGCTTTAGGGCTTCAAGGGAGTAGCCTCCAAGCCTCATGCTCTTGCCTGCTTTGGAAGAGAGATTGCTGTCTGCTTCCTCTTGTCTACTTTGAGGAACTTTGGGTTAGTTTATTTTGTGTGGTTTTTATTCCTGCTCTGTTTGGCATCATGAAGAGAGAGAGGGAGAGCAAGGGAAGTAGGGAAGCTGGAAGGAGGAGAGAATGAAGAAGAAAAGGAAGCTTCTGCCTCTTCACTTGATGCTTTGGGCTTCCATGCCAGAACTTGGTGCTTCTACCACTCTGCCACATTGTTCCACGTAGATGTGCAATTATACATTATTTGTTATTTATGACAACAAAACATGGAACAAAAATGGGGGGGGGGGTCGGGGCCCCCAGAACTGATTAATAGCATTTTAATTGGAATTTTGCTTTGAGATAAGAGCAATTGGAGTTAAGAGCTCGGTCAAGGAACAAATTAAATTCTTAACTCAAGGTATCACTATTCTGAAATGAATCAGTAGCTTTACTCATAGATACCAACTGATACTTTCTTTCTTGAGTAATTTTTTAAAACAACTTGTGGTGTTTTCTGTGAAATCCCTGTCTCTGTGTTTTAATTTAAGCCTCCCATTGTCTAATCCCAAAACTGGGTCTTTTCAAGTTCTCTTTCAGAGCTGAACACTGCCACATCTTGCTGTTCCAGCACCAGCTTTATTTGTGGCAGATGATGCAGCAGAATTGTGTAAAAGAGAGAAGCATTTTGGCTCTTTCGCTGATGGGGTCCTCAGTCAGAACTAACGGCAGAATTGGGCTCCCAAACCTTTTCTACCCAGACTATCCCTTGGATGACAATCAGGTTCCTCATTACTGGATATATAAAGAGCCCTAGGGCAGAAGTGCATTCTTTTCCCAATGCAAGGCCAGGGCAAGATATATTCCCAAGGATTATATAGTGCAAAAGTAAACAAAGAAAATCAAAGTGCAAAGTGTCATCCATCTTCCTGCTAATAACTACAAGAAGCATGTCGGCGATAGAGAAAAATTCATTCTGCTAGTTGGGTTTTCAGTCTTCATACATTTGCACAGTCTCAGACAGTAAAGTAAATGCCCAGCGAGGTATCAAAATAACTGTTTCATGCCATGTGGCAGCTGTCAACATTTGCCCACAATACTAATAAGGTCGGAAGCCCAGCTCATTCAGTTAAGAATAGTTGAATGTGATTGGAGAAGTGGATTATGAATCAACCGTTCTTTCACTGTGAGAGTGACAAGACAGGTTTTGTACCAGTTTATGTGTTTAATAAACAAAATGAAAGAGGAAGAAAGCCTTTCTTTGGAGAAATGCTGGTGACAACTAGCATTCTAAGAACTCAGTGGGATGTAGACATCCACTTTGCAGTCCTACTACTCATTGTAGTCTAATAAAATTTACAGGTCATTTATATTCTGTTCTTCTCCAGAGCTGTATGGAATATGATTACAAATCCACAACCTATATTCAGGAATGGATTTGACAATCCATTTGGCAATATTAATCTTTGGAAATGCTTGGTGTTTTGTTTTTTTTTCTTTTCCTTTTCTGTCTTTCTTGATTCTTAATGCATTTTTGAAACTTCTAAAAGTTTTCTCATTGTGTTCCAATTTTTGAAAATAGCACTTGTTTTTATTTGTTAAAAGTCTTGGGCATATTTGGGTGAGCAAAAAGCAGGCTAAATATCTGGTCAACCAATCACTCAGTGGAAAAAATATAGATATTTCTACAAACAGAAACAAAAAAGGCATGATAAACCAGACCCTTAAAAGAAAAAAAAGAGGAGGAGCGGCAACAGGATCCGTTGCCACTGAAACCAAAAGCAACAGCAATGAAACGTGAATGGCACACATATTTAGGATATCATGACAACTTGTCAAAGCTCATCAAGAACTCTTATAGGTGCCATTTCCTCCTTATTTGTGTGGGTACTGCAGTTCATCTCAGACTATGAATCTCTAGACAGAAAGACCATTGTTTAGAGCAGGGGTCCTCAAACTTTTTAAACAGGGGGCCGGATTACTGTCCCCCAGACCGTTGGAGGACTGGACTATAGTTTTTTTTAAAAAACGATGACCAAATTCCTATGCACACTGCACATGTCCTATTTTGCTACTGTTATGAATTGTAATGTAAATATCTGATATGCATGATGTATTTTTATTGTTACAATCTGAACATAAAGCATAGTTTTAGCATTTCTGAAGATAAAATAGTTCCAATTAAAATGAGGAAAACATTCTATTTTCTGTCTTTTTGAAAGTGGTTTTTGGAATATGTAAGCATGAGTCCCCTTTCGGGGGGGAGAAGGGCAGGGTATAAATATAGGAAATAAATCTATATAAATAAAAATGTAATGTTCGTTTGTGGGATTAACAGAACTCAAAAACCACTGGATACCTAACAACACAATGTATGTCCTTCACTCAAAAAAATTGATTTTGTCATTTGGGAGTTGTAGTTGCTGAGATTTATAGTTTACCTATAATCAAAGAACATTCTGAACTCCATCAATGATGGAATTGAACCAAACTTGACATAGAGTTCTCCCATTACCAACAGAAAATACTGGAAGGGTTTGGTGGGCAGTGTCCTTTGGTTTTAGAGTTGCAGTTCACCTACATCCAGAGATCACTGTGGACTCAAACAATGATGGATCTGGACCAAACTTGGCACTGATACTCAGTATGCCCAAATGTGAACACTGGTGGCGTTTGGGGGTTGTATTTGCTGGGATTTATAGTTCACCTGCAATCAAAGAGCATTCTAAACTCCACCAATGATGGAATTGAACCAGTCTTGGTACACAGAACTCCCATGAACAACAGAAAATACTGGAAGGGTTTGGTGGGCATTGACCTTGAGTTTTGGAGTTGTAGTTCACCTGCCTCCATAAATCACTGTGGATTCAATGAAAGATCTGGCCCAAACTTGGCACGAATATTCCATATGCCCAAATGTGAACACTGGTGGAGTATGGGGGAAATAGAATCTTGACATTTGCGAGTTGTAGTTGCTGGGATTTGTAGTTCACCTACAATCACAGAGCATTCTGAACCCCATCAACAATAGAATTGGGCCAAACCTTTCCAGAGCAGCGCTGCGGGGACTCCAGCAGCCGCTGCTGGTCCAGATAAGCGCGGAAGGAAGAAGCCTGTGGAAGCCTGTGGAGGGAGAAGTGCTCTCTGCTCTCCCGCGGAGAACAGAGAGCAAAGCAGAGCGGACGCCATTGCTCTGTAACAGAAGATCCCTGGTGGCAAGGAAGGCATCCGCAAATGGTGGAGGCGGCACCGGGTGGGCGTGTGGCTTCCCTGGCCCAAAAGCCTGGCCACGCCCACCCGGCGCCGCCTCCCCCATTTGCGGACGCCTTCCTTGCCACCAGGGATCTTCTGTTGCAGAGGAATGGCGTCTGCTCTGCTGCGTTTCTCCCTCCACAGACTTCTCCCTCCACACGGGATGGAGAAGCCTGTGGAGGGAGAAGCGCTCTCTGCTCTCCCGCGGAGAACAGAAAGCGAAGCAGAGCGGACGCCATTGCTCTACAACAGAAAATCCCTGGTGACGAGGAAGGCGTCCGCAAATGGTGGAGGTGGCACCAGGTGGGCGTGGCCAAGCAATGTTTGCTTCCCTAGCCCGGAAGCCTGGCTACGCCCACCTGGCGCCGCCTCCACCATTTGCGGACGCCTTCCTTGCCACCAGGGATCTTCTGTTGCAGAGGAATGGCGTCTGCTCTGCTGCGTTTCTCCCTCCACAGACTTCTACCTCCACATGGGATGGAGAAGCCTGTGGAGGGAGAAGCGCAGCAGAGCAGATGCCATTGGCAGTGGCGAGGGGCTTTGTGTGAGGCCAGGACAGGCCGCGCGGGCCGGATAAATGACCTTGGCGGGCCGCATGTGGCCCGCGGGCCGTAGTTTGGGGACCCCTGGTTTAGAGGCTCTTCTGGTGGCATAGCGGGTTAAACCTCTGAGCTACTGAACTTGCTGACTGAAAGGTTGGTGGTTGTAATCCAGGGAATGGGGTGAATTCTCGCTTGTTAGGACCAGCTTCTGCCAACATAGTAGTTTGAAATAATGTAAATGTGAGTAGATCAATAGGTACCACTTTGACAGGAAGGTAACAGCGCTCCATGCAGTCATTCTGGCCACATGACCTTGGAGGTGTCTACTGACAACACCGGCTCTTCAGTTTAGAAATTGAGATGAGCACCACCCCCAGAGTCCGATACAACTAGACTTAAAGGGGAAACCTTTACCTTTACCTGGTATTGTTGCCATTTCTATTAGAGCAACATACAGATGTGAAGATACTGCAAGAGAATGCCTGGCTATGCAGATGAAATGAAACTTTATTTATAGCCCGCCCTATCTCCCTGAAGAGACTCAGGGCAGCTCACAACAAAATGCACAATGGCCAACATTCAATGCCAACAGTACTGTGTAAACAAATTAATAAACAAATCAAAAACAGCTCAATAAATTATAAATCAACGTAAATGAACAAGACATAAAATGACCCACATAATTAATAACACATGAAATCCTTAAAATATAATTTAACATCTCTAAAATTAGGCTAAAATTGTTGGGGGAGAAATGGAAAACAACAGGTTCGCAGAGTGGATGCTAGCAGCTAGCTAAGGTGCAAATAGATGTACTTAATCCTCCTCCTCTCTGCAAGCTAAATTGCATAGATCTGTTTTAATAGCTTTTTGAAGGAGAGAAGAGAGTAAGCCATTTAAAACTCTTTAGGGAGGGAGTTCCAGAGGTGGGGAGTGATCACAGAGAAGGCCCTCTTTTGCGTTCTCACCAACTGCACTTGAGATGGGAGTGGGACTGAGTGGAAGACCTCCTCTGCTGACCACAGTGCTCGTTTTGGTTTATATATTATTGGGTCTTTCAAATAATATGCACCTGAGGTTGGCTTCTGAGACTATGGTCTTTTTCCTTAGATAGAAAATTACTGGCTGGCAAAAACTGGGAACAGCTGAAAAGTCCCAACAGGTCGGAGGAGGGCAGGTGTTATCCCCATTTTCAAAAAAGGTGCCAAATAGTTGCCACCCAGGCAAAACCAGGAAAGATTCTAGAGCAGATTATATTAGACAGACAATCTCTAAGCATCTCAGAAGGAATGCCATGCTCACTAAGTTTCAACATGGGTTTCTCAAAAGCAAATCATGCCAGACAAACCTTCTCTCTCTCTCTCTCTCTCTCTCTTTTTGATAGGTTACAAGCTTGGTAGAATGCTATGAATGTAGCAGATCTTGTTTCCAATAAGGGCTACGACAAGGTCTCCCATGATATTCTCACACAAACATCTAAGAAAATGTGGTCTAGACAATGTTAATGTGTTGGTGAACTGCTGAACCCAGATGGTTCTTCCCAAGATTATTGCTCTTGGTTCTGAGATTACTTCTGCCAGTTCCTTCAGTGCCCTTGAATGCCGTGCATCTGTCTCTGAATATTTGAATTATTTTTAGAGTAGCCAGTTATTCCTGTACTGCCTTTTTACCTTTCCTGTGCTGCATTTCCTCATCTGCATCCTCTGCTCCATTTCCTCAAAGGAGGTGCTGGGTCTTTCAGTTGCCTTTATCCTTATACATGTTAGCTTGAATTCCTCTTTGGTGCTTTCCTCTTTTTCCACTTCTTGTACATGTTCTCTTTAAAACAGAGCTCAGTGGAAAGTTCCTTAGACATCCATTCAGATCTTCGAATGTGAGGAATTGCATACAGAGCGGAAGAAGGAAATGTATCCAAATGATTATTGTAACCTGGCTTGACAACAGAGACCCAGGTCTAGAACTCAAAGTTTTAAGAGAATACATCAATTCCGATCGTGTTTTCTTTTACTTTCTAGTGACTTTCAGCCTGCGGGAGAATCTGCAAGGGACAGTAGTAGCCGCCCTCGAGGGGGAACCCGGTTTTCAAGGTTGTCTCAGCACCATCCGCGGGAGACACGGAACCTGGAGCCTCAGAGTGGCGATCTTTGACTTTTGGGGTGATTATGACCACTGACACAATGTACTTTAAGCTGCCTTTGGATTTTCTTCCTATCTCACACAGTAGACAGCCGCAACAGGGGAAAATACAATTCTGTTGAATTATAATCAGCAAGGAAAAGGTTGAAGGGCCACTTTGGAATAGCTGCCTTTCTCCAAAAACAGTGAGATGCCCTTTGGTCTAAAACTGAGAAGTGCAGAGAGGGCTGCTTCATGTATCCTTTGATTTGTCAACCCATTGATAAGGATTTTTTTTTTTTTTTAGCTTCTGGAGTTTTGATGGATTTTTATCTTCTATTCAAAATCCTATGAGGATGAACCCAACATAATTGCAACTAGAATAATAAAACCATTTTAAATCCGCGTCTTTGAACTCCTTTCTTTCCTCTTCTCCTATAGCTGTCAATTTTTTACTACCTACATCAAACCTTGGGCAAAAAAAGAATACGAGAAATGCTAGAATCTGATTTGGTGTTTCTATTCCAGATCTTCTCAGATGGAATGTTGTCAGATTTTACATAGCAGACAGCTCTGAAACCATTAATTTAATGCAATCAAATAGAAAATTGAGTTTGGGTGAATGTCATCAAAGCTTTCCAGATTGTGCAAATGCCTGTACTTCCATAGAATCAAAATAAGCAACCACTTTTGCTACCAAATGTGTAATTCATTGCTGCTATTGTTCATCAACCTTCACTGAATTATCTTCTTGTAAGAGTGCATCAAAAATAGCTGAAAGGAAACCCAGAATGCGATGTTTCCAATGGATGTGATTTCATACCAGGATGTGAATACTGGTACGAACTAGTTTCACCCACACCTTGTACTACAAGAACTGATCCTCATGCTCCACCCTTGACCCACTTAGAATTGTGCTATGATTTTGATTTTGTGTAGTATTAATGACTGATGTCAACGTAGTGTGCATGCCAAATTACATGTCTGTCCAGGTTGTTGTTTGTTCATTATGGGTTCTTGAAGGGTTAGAGGTGGTGGCTTGTTTTGAGCAGAGCACCTGCAAAAGAAGGGGATGAGTTCCACAGAAATCCACAACGATCTGTCGACAACTTTGGGGAAATCTGCTGTGTCGTATGATAGTGTAAAAAAATGGTATTGGGAATCTGAACGTGGAAGAACATTGTGTGAAGATGAACATGGTTTTCACCAGTCAAAAACTATCAACATAGAATAAACCATCAACAGAATCCACGATGCGGTTATGCAAGATGGATGAGTGACCATCAAGGATATAGTACAGGAAACAAGTGTCTCGTTCTATATAGTACACACAATATTGACAAAAGAATTGGACATGAAAAAATGAACAGCAAGATGAGTGCCTCGAATGTCAACAGCCACACAAAAACTAACAAGGTTCTTACTATGCGGACTTCATTACAAAATTACTTGTTGCAATTAAGGACAAATGTTGTGAAGAGTTGGGACAGGGAGCAGTTTGCAAGGGTTGGACAACCCTTTTTCCAAGAAGCAGTCAAAATGTTAGATGTTAGCTGGGATAAGTGCATTTGACTTCAAGACAACTAAGTTGAAAAATTAGGTAAGAATGCTGCCAGTTTGTACTCAGGAAATGGGTCAGAGATGGAACATAAGGATCAGCCCCTGTACTGTGGGAAGCAAGTGTCCCCTTAATGAGCCTTGTTATCAAGACAGGTTCCATTTTTCTTGCAATTTAGGACATCCCTTCATATAAGCTGCAGACATTTTCATGTTCGTTGCATCATCACTGTAATATTAAATTGTACTTCTTCTTTAAAAGCTTCTTTTGCAGAGATATAGTCATTTTCCATGAACGAACAGTATCTTTAAACTTACTATCGCAGTGAAATTATCAATTTCATGGAGTCACACTCCATCTACAGCAGTAGTGACCCAAATGAAGCATACCAGTGTACATAAAAATATTGTAGAAACCGATGTACATCAAGATATTTTGGAAAATATCTTGATGTGGTATTTGTATGTCTCAAAGGGCCCCCTGGTGGTGCAGCAAGTTAAACTGCTGAGCTGCTGAATTTGCTGACTGCAAGGTTGGCGGTTCGAATCTGAGGAACAGGGTGAGCTCCCGCTCTTAAGCCCAGCTTTTGCCAACCTAGCAGTTCGAAAACGAGCAAGTGTGCGTAGATCAGTAGGTGTTGCTTCTGTGGGACGTTAATGGCACTCCATGCAGTTATGCCGGCCACATGACCTTTGAAGCATCTACGGATAATGTCGGCTCTTCAGCTTAGAAATGGAGATTAGCACCGCTTCCCAGAGTCAGACTTGACTAGACTTAATGTCAGGGGAAACCTTCACCCTTACCTTAAAGGTGACTAATGGGAGCCATGCCAGCCTGGTGTAATAGTTTTGTGGATTGTTGAAGTATGATGGTCCTAAATTTAGGGGCTGCAACCTTCACCTAGACAAGGAACAGCCTTTGGCATCTTTATTCTTGTGTTTCTCTTTTAACAGCTATACTCAAGCTCAGTGTGTTCTCCATTAATTCCATTGATTCTTTGGATTTTGAACTGGATTCCAGGATCAAGAAAGAGGCAGGCAAGCTTACACAGAAGACCTCATCTAGAATACTGTGTCCAGTTCTGGGCTCCACAATCCAAGGTTGAGAAGTCTTGAATCCCCCTGGGGCACGCCTTGGGGAGCTGGATATGTTTGAATTGGAAAAAAGAAGGCTGAGAGAAGGGAACATGAGATCCAGGTTTTAACTATTTGAAAGAATATCCCATTCGGGAGGAAGGGGCAAGCTTGTTTTCTGCTGTTACTCTGGAGACTAGGACACCATGGAGCCATGGGTTCAAATTGGAAGAAAACATATTTCATTATGAAGATCTTCCTCAGGAGTGGAATGTGCTGCCTTGTAGAGTGAATGGAGTCTTGTTCTTTGGAGGCTTTTAAGCAGAGGCTGGATGGCTATCTGTTGGGGGTGCTTTGAATGTGTGGCAGAATTGGTTTGGACTGGATGGTCCTTGGTGTCTCTCCCAACTCTTATAGTTCCATGAGACGTTAAAAATCTCTCTTGTAGAGAAATACAAAGCAATCAAGAAATATGGTTTAAAAACACTCTTTTTATTATGTATTGCTTTGTGCTATAACAGAGTTAAAATAGAATTTATGTTAGATGAATGGAGTTTGCAGGAATCCAGTTTTAATTTAAGGATGTGTCTTCTGTTAGTAGATTACATCTTTTTTTTCACCATAGTGGTAGATCTGAAAAATCCAACAACAACAACAACAAAACTTTATTTATATACCGCTCTATCTCCCCGAGGGGACTTGGAGCGGTTTCCAAATAACATAATCCATACATACAAGAAAAACAGCATAAACATAAAATTAACAAGACAATATAAGCATAAAAAACCACAATATCACATATATATTTAAAATAATCCTGCCTGTTCAAGGCAATTTAAAAGGCCGGGCCAGGGCTAGTGCAATTTTAGAGGGCCCGGGAAATTAGGTAGAGTCTATGGCTGTACATTTCTAGGGCCTAATAGAAGAAAGTAGCCTGGGTAATAGGTAGAAAAAGATATGGCCAATTTCAACAGTATCTGGGGCTAAGCTAAAACTAGTCGGTCTCAAAGGTTTGTTTAAATCACCAGGCTCTTACGAAAGAAGGGGAGGGATGGGGCCTGTCTTATTTCTCAAGGAAGGGCGTTCCAGAGGCGGGGGGCCACCACCGAGAAGGCCCTCTCTCTCATCCCCACCAACTGTGCTTGTGATGGTGGTGGGAGCGAAAGGAGGGCCTCCCTGGAAGATGTTAACGTCCGCGCCGGTTCATAGAGGGAGGTGTGATCACAAAGATAGGCGGGGCCCGAACCGTTTAGGGCTTTGAAATTCTCTATTTCAATTAAGAGTTGGTTGACATGATAATCTTTAGTTCGTAGTCTTTCTTGAAGAGGAATTGCCCAGTTGGGACTGTCGGTGGCAGCTAGGACTTGCCGTATCGGATGTATTTTGATCCTTAGGCCTTACCACTAAATTGCTGACCATAGCCTTTCTTTTGATGGGTCCCCTGCTTGACTTCTCTCGCCTGTTGATCCTTGTTGCTAGTTGAGGAAGGAAAGTTCCTATAAGGCAGTGTTTCCCAACCTGAGGGTCCTCAGATGTTTTGGCCTTCAACTTCCAGAAATCGTAACAGCTGGTAAACTGGCTGGGATTTCTGGGAGTTGTAGGCCAAAACATCTGGAGGCCAACAGAACCACTGCTCTGAGGGATTTCCTGCTGTAACTGCTGCAGTGTCATATCAGGTTTATCTGGTCCATATACTCTGCATTCTGTAATCTCAGAGAGACCTGAGAGCAGTGTTTCGTTGAGAATGCCCTGAGACATGGGTGCTGTGGCCCTTTCCCTAGTTTCAGCTGGCATCGCGTGTCTTCCAAAATCCATGACTGCTCATGACTTCAACCATTTTTCCAGCCTCAGGTGATGATGATATTTCTGTTGGTGAACTAATGGATAGATAGATCTGTTTATTGATTAGTCTGTTGGCCATATTGCTAATAAAAGACAAAAATACACAGACAGACACTAATAACTATCCTAAAACTCCTGTGATAATTAACTAAAATAAATTAAAACACAATAAAACATGATTAAATAATTAATTTGATATAGGGGAGAATAGTGGCAAGTGTCAAATAATTGGTTGGAGAATTTAGATAAGTTCATTGCCATGACATGGGAGATAAAGGGATCTCTCAGGTGGACAGCGTTTGTAATCAATTTGGCTCTATAGCAGACTAAATGTAGTTTCTCCCCAGAAAGAAAATAGGGCAGTTTGGTAATTGGGTCCCAGTTGGTTGTTCCCACCAAAAGTGGTTGTAAATTTTGGGATCTCAACTTGACATATAGACAACAAACAAAATACAGTAGAGTCTCGCTTATCTGACTTTTGCTTATCTGACATTCCGTCTTATCCGATGCTCTTATCCAACGACTCGCTTTTCCTCCAACATTTCCCCTTCAGTTAAAGGAGCTGTCCCCAACTTTCTCTCCATTCCCAATAAGTGAAAAAGGCAAGAGAATGAGGAGGGAAGAAAGGGGGGAAAGAGGCACGACTGGAAGTGGAAGCATCGTCCTTACCTCTGTGATTTCCACGCTCCAGGCACTTCCTGCTGGGTTGCTCTAGCCCCGAGGCGTTGCCTTGCCTTAACCCTTTGAGTCCCTGTTGTTAGTATTTTAAGTGTCCAGTGCCGCGTTGGATGGGTAACAGTAGGAGACTCTGTATTATCCAACACTTTTGTTTATCTGACGTTCTGTCGGCCTTTTTATGTCGGATAAGCGAGACTCTACTGTATGCGCAATGTCCTCTGACTGGTGCACTATAGACATATGCTCTTTTGTGAT